CCCAATAAGGATTTGAAACACATGCTGTTTCTACATAATTCTTAGATTTTTTCAATTTCCATTGGACTTTATTAGAGGGATGATGATTGAATTTCTGATTTTTGCTGGAACCTCTCTTCTTCCCTCGGTTGACAATTAACCAAGGACCATAACCAGAGTCTTCATTATTTTTGCCATTTGAGTCTTGCAAAGGTTCTGCTTCCTTCAATATTGTATTTTATGTGATATTCCTCTTCTCTTGACTGATGGGAACTTCATCTGAATTTCTGCATTGTTCCTTGCTTTGGCCAATAAGACCACAATTGAAACAAAAACTAGGAACCCTTTCATACTCTATCTTTTGATAGAATCTTCCATAATAGCCTTCCACCCAAACTCCTAGTGGAAGCTTAGCATCCAAATTTAGATTAGCACAAACATCCGCCAACTTGTTGCAATCTCTCCTAACCCAATTAAAGATGATTTGATTGAAGTCCTTTAGGAATTCCATCTCTTTCAATTCTTTGAATTCAAGAGGCCAAGCTTTATGAATGACCTTGATCATATTAACATTGTCACCTTCAATACAAATCCCTTTATATTTGAACATCCAATCTTTGATCACTTCCTTCAGAGATTTGATAGCTAGCATTTCCAGTTGTGAAAGGTCCTAATGGTTTCAAGACTTGCCAAAGGCCAATAAGAATCTCCCTTTACAGTCACGGATGACACCCCCAGTACTGACAATATGGGATGAGTCAATAGAAGCATCTATATTAATTTTTAACCATTCGGGTGGAGGGGGATAAGAATATTTCAACAGTCTAAAGGACTGATTAGCATCCCTTAATTCCAATTTTGAGTTAAAAATCATCTTAGAAAATGACGAAGCGATGACTGCATTTGTAGCAATATAAGTAGCACCTTTTGTCACATTGTCATGAACAAGAGTATTCCTAGCTTTCCAAGAGAGATATAAGACATTACAATATAAATTGACAATAAAACCATTGTGATTTATCATAGATGCAATCCAAGTCAAGCTATTAAAATCTGGAATATGAAATCCCCATTTGCTTAGTTGAGTGGCCAGCTCTTTCATTTTTCTGCATTTACAAACAACATGCTCCACATTCTCTATATCCTCCAAGCACCTTGGGCATAAAGCATTCTCTTGCAATCTTTTATGTGATAGAAACTGGAAAGTAGGAATAGCATTTTTAAAAGTCTCCAGCAAAATGTTTCTACTCGTGGATTTAATCTTGCATGTTTAAACCACTTCGAAAAACTGCAATATGAAATTTCTTGTTCATTGGCTTCTGTAATTAAACCTGAGATGGTTTTTCCAGAGAACTGATTAATCGGCTTCTGCTCATCTTCTAAAAGATTTGATTTGATTCTAGTTTGTAGAATTAAGTCCACCAAATCAACTCCAAAAAACTTCTTCAATTCTGTTATGTTCCAAATCCTCTTTGAATAAATTTATCTAGCATAACAATCTCCTCATTTTGGGGGATAACAAATGTAGGCCATTTGTTAATACTCCTATCTAAGATCCAATTATCTTCCATAGTGTTAATAGATTTGCCATTAACAACATTCCATCTTAAGATAGGATTGAGAGCTTTTCCACCATCTTTGATAATTTTCCATGAAGATGAGATTCTTTTATTACAGTTTTCGATTTCAATTTTGTTTCCATATTTGGAAGCCAATAATTTGTGCAAGAGAGAATCTTTATTATTCATAAATCTCCAAGATAGTCTCCCTCTCAGAGCAGAAACCTTAGAGGATGAAGAGCTCAGTCCACGTCCTCCTTGATTAGCTGGAATGCATAGTTCTTTCCAGCTGACATAATGAATATCCTTTACTCCATTAGATTTGTTCCAGAGAAGGTTTCTGCATAGTTTATCTATTTCCTTGAAGGTCCATGAGGGAACCAAATTGTGTGTGCTGTAGTAATTTGGAAGAGCCAAGATAACCGATTTGATTAGGATAATTTTGCCAGCCAATGAAAGAAAATTACTTCCCCGCATGTTAAGTCTTTTGAAAGACTTTTCAATGATGAATTGGAAGTCATTTGAAACTAGTCTCTTTAAGACATCTTTATTCCAAGATAAGTAATTTGCTTCACCTCCTTAAATCCCATAATACGTTGGATGGCTTTCCTTTTCCTTCTATCCACTATCTTCCCAAAAATTATAGCAGATTTTTGTTTGTAAATGCATTATCCAGTCCACCTGCTGAATTTATCCAGAATTTCTTTAGTCTCCTTAGCCACTTTCCTATTAGCTTTTGAGTAGATAAACACATCATCATATAGTAAATGAGAAACCTGAGGACCTTTTGGGGAGATTTTAATGCTAACAGAAGATAAAGAAAGTGCATTGGAGAGGAGTTGAGAGCAAAGAATGAAAAGAATTGGAGAGAGTGGACAACCTTGTCGGAAGCCACTCCTAGCTTCAATACACTAAGATAGTGAACCATTAATAATCAAAGAGAATCTTGGTTCAATCACACATTCCAAAATGAGCTTAGAGATCATAGGAGGGAATTCAAAGTACTTTAAAACAGCTTGAAGAGTTATCCAGCTCATTGGATCATACGCTTGGTCCATATCAACTTGATAGGAAACAAGACCTTTAGAGGACTTGGAATACCTGAATTTGTGGAAGACTTCTTGAGCAACTAGCACATGATCCGAAATAGATCTACCCTTTATAAATGTTGCTTGCTCCTCAGAGAAAAGTTTAGGAACAACTGGAATGAGTCTGTTCAGAATCAGCTTAGCCGCAACCTTATAAACCGAGTTGCATAGGCTAATGGGCCTGAAGTTGGTTGGCAGCACCGGGTTAGACACTTTAGGAATGAGAACAACTAAAGTGTCTTTCCAATTTCTATCCATATCTCCATTAAAAAGGAAGGAGTTAATAGCATTTACCAAATCTGTCTTTATAATAATCTAGTAAGCTTTGATGAAAGAATAGGTAATACCATCACTTCCTGGAGCTACATTAGCTCCCAATTGAGTTAGAACAACTTCAATTTATGTTTCAGAAAATCCCCTTGAAAGCCAAGCTTTCTCTTCATCATTCAAAACTGCATTTGGTTCTGGCCACCCTTCCAAAGAAGAACTCCTATGTCTCCATTTATTTCTAAAAAAACTGATTAGAACCTCCTCAATTTGATTTTGTTCTTCAAAAACCACTCCATCATCATCTTTTATTTTCACAATTTTATTTAAACTCCTCCTTGCACTAGTAAATGCAGGATAAAACTTTGAGTTAGTATCTCCCTCCATCCAATTTGCTTTGGCTTTTTGCTTCCACCAAGAGTCTAATCTAGAATTGGTTGTGTTGAGCTCACAGATTTTAGTTTTTAATGTCCAGCACTTCCTTACTAAGCCAACTATTGTCAGACTCTTTATTTTGAAGATCCATAATTTGCTCCATCAAATTCTCTTTAAGAAGATTCAAATTTTTAAGCTTGACTTTGCTCCAAAAGAAGAGAGCCTTCAAAACTCTTTTGAATTTAGAATTCAAAATTTGAGCATGAGAACCCGAAAAGGATTTTTTCCATCCATTTTTAACCATAGATAGAGCAGCTGGGTAGGATGTCCAAACATCCTCAAATTTTATACATTTAGACTTTTATGTTTTGTGCCAAGAAAATTAAGAAAAATCGGACTATGATCCGAAGCAATCCTTGCAAGATGTCTAACAACCAAATAATTAGAAAAATTTAAAGCCAAATAGTTAAGGAAACACCTATCTAATCTCTCCAGGATTCTACCTCCTCCTTCCTTGTTGTTGCACCAAGTGAACCGTGGCCCAATAAATCTTACCTCATGGTAATCATTATTAGTAATAAATGCCTCCATCTCTTTAGGCCCTTTAGAGAAATGAAACTTATTTCCCCCTCTTTTGTCTTCAATTGAAGTGAGGCAATTGAAATCTCCTCCTATCACCATGGGTGTTTCTTTAGTAGAATGAACTTCCAACTTGTTCCAAAATTCCCTTCTTTTATACAAATCTTTGTTGCCATAGATAGCCGCCACTCTCCATTTATCATTGTTGAAAACAGAGAGATCCCCAATAATACATTGGGAAGACAATTCCCGCACAGCAAAATCAGCCAGGGATATATTCTAGAGTACTATAATCCCACCAGATAAACCAATCGAAGGTACCATCACATAATTCCAACCATCTTCAATAGTCTTTTTTACTTCTTCCATATCAATATTAGATATCTTTTCCTCTAATAATCCCACAAAAACTACATTATGTAATTTAATAAACTCTTTAAGGAATAAAGAAGCACACCTTTTTCTAGCTCCTCTACAATTCCAAAAGGCTAAAGAATACATTAATAAATTGTTGGGGAAGACCTCCCCATTGTGGCTCTTTGATCCAGCTCCATCCTCCTGCTCCTTGAATTGGTGCTAATCGGACCAAGGTCTTTCAGTTGTTTTGATTTCTTCTTTTTAACCAAGCTGAAATCCTTTTCTATATCATTTATGCCCTGATCTAAAATGTTTGAAATTACTGAAGAGGTTACAGCAACATTTAAATCTTTCAATGCAACATCAGTTTTTTCCTGGATTATTTCCCCTTCTTCCACCTGATCATCAAGAACATTAAACATATTTTTTGCTGTGTAAATGGAGAAAATCTCTCTATTTTCTGTGTTACTTTTTGGACGGGAAGCAACAAGATTTTCTTGAGCTGATATATCTTCACTTGCATCATTTCCATGGCATGAAGTTTGTGGAGCCTGATTACATTCAACTTCAATATCCTTACCCAATAAGGATTTGAAACACATGCTGTTTCTACATAATTCTTAGATTTCTTCAATTTCCATTGGACTTTATTAGAGGGCTGATGATTGAATTTTTGATTTTTGCTGGAACCTCTCTTCTTCCCTCGATTGACAATTAACCAAGGACCATAACCAGAGTCTTTATTATTTTTGCCATTTGAGTCTTGCAAAGGTTCTGCTTCCTTCAATATTGTATTTTATGTGATATTCCTATTCTCTTGACTGATGGGAACTTCATCTGAATTTCTGCATTGTTCCTTGCTATGGCCAATAAGACCACAATTGAAACAAAAACTAGGAACCCTTTCATACTCTATCTTTTGATAGAATCTTCCATAATAGCCTTCCACCCAAACTCCTAGTGGAAGCTTAGCATCCAAATTTATTCGTACATAAACCCTTCCAAATTCTCTCCGTCCCCATTGGAACATGTTTCCATCTATTAGATATGGTTTTCCAACCATTGAAGCAATTCTACATATATTTATGTTGTCCCAGCAATGAAGTGGAAGGTTTGGAAGATGGATCCAAATTGGTGCTGTCAACCCTTTCAGTGAAGTAGGAGAGAAATTATGTGACCACTTGTCCATCCCTATTATTTTTCCGTTGACAAAATATGGCCCATTCGACATAACTGCTTCCATTTGATCAGCTTCAGGAAAAGAACATAAAATCCACCCCATGCCTACATAGTAAGGTGAAATTTTCCAAATGGAGCCCATTGCCTCCTAAGCTCAGAACCGATGACCCACACAAGAGGTTCACCACCAAATACTTTAACAACTAATAAGTTGATAAGTTTGTGAGCATTTTCTTTCTAATTAAGATCATGGAGTTTAACGTCTTACCATCATCAGACAAAAAGTTGCCCAGTTCCAAGTCAGAAACTTTGATATTTTCTTTCCTTCTCCAAGCATTTGTTTGTTCTTCCACATTAGCTCGAGCTGGATTAACAACATCATTTTCACAATGCCCACTTTCATCTTGTTCAACATTCCTGACATTTAGAAGATCAGAATACAAGATCTTCGTTTGTTCTATAGATTCCAGGGGGTTATTCATTTAACCAGTCTTCTCCTTCAGATTCAATGGTGCATTCTCTTTAACAGATTTGGGAAAATTTTCAGTGATTATAGACGAAGAGTCTACATTAGTGCCTTCAGAATTTTTCAATTTTGGTGTAATTTTCGCACTTGATGGCAAAGATGAAGACGATGCCTCAAATCCACCCTCCAGAGCCAATGTCATCTTTTTAAATAAAACTTTCTCAATCCTTTCCTCAGCCAATAAATCCTTCCCTTTACCAATAACATCTGAAACTTTCCTTCCCACAAATCCTCCTTCATTGATAATAATACCTTTAATAATTCTCTATTTTGATATCTGATTAAGGCCGAGGTTGTCATCTCCAAACGCAGGAGGCGAAAGGAGAAGACGAGATGCAGTAGTAGAAGGCTTGTTAATGTTGCGACGATCCTCTGGCTTGCCGCCGGTCATCAGATGACGGCGAACATCCATCGCCATCAGGTTTCCACAATTCCCGCGAAGTTAAAATTTGAATTTCTGAACAGAATCCGATCCGTTTCTCAGAGTTTCTCTTTCTAATCCACGAAGTCAATAGGTTCTTTGGAAAAGTAAAAGTACTAATTCTAAATTTATCTGGACTTTTTGGTCTAAATGTTGTGGTTGTTTTTGAATTCAATAAAAATGATAGAGGAAGGAGAATTTAGTGAGGAGTTATTAGAATGCTCTAACTCATCTACTAAGAAGCATACCATTGCTTTAGGTTTTGTTAAGTTTAAACTTCAAAAAAAACTTCAATCGCTTGGTAAAAATAATGTTCATCCTCAAAAAAGAAGAAATGATGTATTTTAGAGAAATGCTAGAGGGAGAAATCCCACTATCATTCATAAATGATGTCCATCATCTTTTGGAATTCTAAAGGGGCTAGGAAAGATGAAGCCTTTTTGTATTTGAAGGAGATTGTGAATGATCATGATGCTTATTTGTTGGATTGGTTAAAAAAAAAATTCTTCAATTGATCCATCTGAATTCAAGAGGTTTATAGGCAAAAAATGGAATTTTTTTCTATTTCCAGCTGATAGGCTTTCTGGCAGTATCTTGACTTGTTGGAGATTGAATATTGCTTCATTTTTAGTTAAAGAAGCAAATTTTCAAGTTGTAATAGGAGAACTTAATATTGTTAATAAAGGTGTGTGCTTGATAGCCACTGTTTATGGAAGCAAAAATTATTTCAAGAGGAGTTTGTGGAGTAGCCTTCAGATGCTTTCAGGTATAAAAATTCTAGCTATTGTGGGTGGAGACTTCAATTTTTTATTATCTCAAGATGATGAGAAAGGAGATAAGCAGTTTGTTATGCCTCAAGGGACTCATGATATATATTCTTTTATGAGCAATTGTGACTTTAATGAAGTGGGAATAGTAAGTCCTAAATACACTTGATGTAACAATAAAGTTGGTGAAGCTCAAATATTAGAAAGATTGGATCGTTGTTTTCTTAATTTTACTTGTTTGAAGTCTATTAAGTTGGCTGTTGTTAGATACTTAGCTAGATTGGCTTCTGATTGCTGTCCCATAATGCTAAAAAAAATTTCTATAGGTTTTTGTAGAAATCGGGCAATCATGTTTGAGGATGTTTGGATGACATTTCCTGCATCCTATGCTATTGTATTTAACTTTTGGATGAAACCTGTACGAGGTAGCAATGTGGAATCTTTTAATGTTAAATTCAAAAGAGCTATGAAGGCTTTATTGTTTTGGATTAAAGCAAAGCACAAAAGCTTGTATGAAATGAAGGAAGTTCTTAAAAAAGAAATTCTTGAATTATAAATTGAAGAATATAGTTGTGGAGGTCTCTCAGATCATAGGCTTCTACTTTTAAAATCCAAGGTTAATGATCTCAATTCTACACTTGGTCGGCTTTGTACTTTTTTTTTTTTTTTTTGAAATTTACAAATTGCACTAAACAAGAAGAAGCACTAAATACAAGTACTAAAAGGATCACATTCCACCTTTAATAATCTAAGAAATGAAGGAGGAATGTTGCAAAAAGAAAAGCTATAAAAAATAAAACTATTTTCTATAGCAAGAGTAGCACATAAATCTGCTACTTTATAACACTTTCTATTAACATGATAAAAAATGACTTTATTGAAATCATTTAGAAAGAATACCTCCTTTTCCACCCAATTCTCCAATAGCTATTTTGATTTATTCATTGAATCTTGAACGAATTTAATGATGTTGAGATTATCACTTTCAATGATAACCCCTTTTCTCTCCATCATTCATCTTTGTATGAACTCCCTTATTGCTTATACCCCCTCCATCTCCAACTGTGCAACAACCCAATGAACTCTTATCTTCCCGAACGCAAGAAGTAGCCTTCCTTTATGGTCTCTAAAAGTACCTCCAATTCCATCTTGATTCGAACTTAAAACTGAAGCATCAACATTAATTTTAATGATATCTAGAGGTGGAGGGTGCCAAGCCTCATGAAACTCCCTTGGGAGATTAATACCCCAATTATCTAGTATTAGACTTGATTGTATCACGGCTATAGACAATACATTTGCTGCAACCAACGAGCATGAAATAGAAGACTTTCCATGCTTCACCTCATTCCGGTTCTTCCATGATAAAAAAATAGCTTCATAATACATCTTTATAACACTGATATACTAAGACGAAAGCCTTATTAGTTCCACGAAACTATTTTCCAAAAAATAGAACATAAGAATACTAAAGTCCCATTCTCTAAGCTTTAGAATAACATCATTTAGATATTTACAATGAAAAACTATATGAGAATAACTTTGAATCTCTTGACATCCTCTAACACATCACTCATCATTGCTGAGCCTTCTATATCTGAGAAACAGATTTGTAGGAATTGAATTTTTACTCAACCTCCACCAAAATAATTCCACTCTTGGATTTTGTTTTAGCTTCATAAGCCATTTATAATATCCACAATCATCCTCCTTGATATTAGCTTCCATTAATTTTTCATAAGCCAAGGCATATATGGATCTACCTGAATGTTGAGACATTGTTTCCATTTGATCGTCCTCGTGAGTGGAACCAATAAAAATCTACACAATCAACATTATAAGTTCTCTATGAAAATATTGTTGCAACTCCATCTCATTCCAGCCACCATCAATATTTATGAAATGGCTCAGCATAATTCCATCCAATTCCCCACAGTTGGCAAAGGTTGGCCATGTGTTTAAACATTTATCAAGTAGCCATATGTTTTTCAGCACATTGATTTTACTTCCATTACCCACTTTCCATTTGACAATGGGCTTAAGATGCTTACCTCCATCTATAATAATCTGCCATGCGCTAGAAGCATTCTTCTTACATTCCCCATTCAAAATGTTATCACCATATGTCAAAATCATATTTCCATGGAGTAATGAATATTGATTGTTGATAGCATTCCACGCCAACCTCGCTCTAAGAGGACTAGCTCTGTGGATTGCAGATTGAATTCCCAATCCCCTCACACTTCTTCGTTTATAAATATCATCCCACGCCACATAGTGTAAACCTCCTTTTCCATTTGGTTTGTGCCAAATAAAATCTCTACTGAATTTGTCCATCTCATGCAGTAATTTCTTTGGAACCAAAGAATGTGTTATCAAAAAGTTTGGCAATAATAACCAAGATGACTTCACCAAGGTTATCCTCCCCCCCATAGATAAAATCTTACTCCCCCAAGCATTTAGTTTTTCCAAGACATGATTCAACAAATTTTAAAAATCAGCCATACCCAACCTTCTCATAATGATTTTAATTCCCAAGTACTTCATTTACAACTTTATACCCAAGTCTTCTAGAAAATTTATGCTTAACGGATCGTATGACAAAGTTACCAAATATAATTTAAGATTTGGTTAACCTGTAGTCAAATCCATTAACAAAAATATGCAACAATTGTCTTCATTAATCCAGCTAAATGAATTTTTGCTTGAGCAAAAACTAGCACATCATCAGCATATAAAAGATGGGTGATTTTCTGACTTCTTGGTGACACCTGAACACCCAAATCCTATCCCCTCTGTTTAATTGCACTGGATAGGAGTTGAGAGCACAAGATGAACAAGTAAGGTGATAATGGATACCCTTGATAAAAACAACTTTTTGCATATATCCATTTTGTGTTCCTTCCATTCAATATAATAGAAAACCTTGCCTTCCTTACACATTCCATAATGTGGTCATAAAACTTAAATTGAAAACCATACCATATAATAATTTGTTGCAGTGTTGGCCATCCCATACTATCATAAGCCTTCTCCATATCCAACTTAACTTCCATCAAGCCATTTTTGTTTTTTGATATCCTAAATTTATTGAATATCTCTCGAGCCAATAAATAATGTTCTAACATGGATCTACCAGGAATGAATACCATTTGTTCTTCAAAAATTATGTTTGATATGCATATTTTAATTATATTAACCATCATAGTTGCAACTATCTTATATGTGGTTTGACATAGACTTATTGGCCTATAATTGGATGGCAAGATTGAGTTCTTTACCTTAGGAATTAACATAATCAAAGTATCTTTACATTCCTTATGCATCACTCCGATCGTAAAGAACCCATTAACAACTTTATAAGTAATTTCTCTAACAATGCTCCAATAGAACTTGAAGAAAGAAGAAGTCACACCATTAATGCCCGGTGCTTTAAAAACTGCATTCTTAAAATCTTCTTCGGTGAACTCAGCCCTCAACATTTCCAAATCCATAGAAGTTAATTTCTGATTTTCATAAATCAAAGGCCAATGAGTAAGTTTGCATTCTCTGGATCTCCACTTCTTATTAAAAAAATTCAGGAAAACTTCTTCAATTTGCTCAAACTCCTCTAACACATTATTATTCTCATCTCTAATTTTCCTTACAAGATTCCCATTCCTTTTTGTTAAGGAAAAATTATGAAAGAACCTAGAATTTGTGTCTCCTTCATCATGCCATCTCACCTTAACCCTTTGGTTCCACCAAGTAGATAACCTTCTTAATGTA